ATAAAATAAACTCGTATAGAATACACACATAAGGCATCTTTGTGCAAAATTTGGTGTCTCTATCTCTTTTAGTCTCTGAGATCCAGGTGTTCATACGGACGGACAGACGGACAGACAGACAGACAGACAGACAGGGCTAGATCGACTCGTCTCGTCATGCTGATCGAGAATATATATACTTTGTGGGGTCTGCCACGCCTCCTTCTGCCTGTTACATTTTTCAGCTCCCGCAAACCTAATATACTTCTGTACATTTCATGTATATAATAAGTCAAAGCAGCAACTCCTGCCGGTAGAGCTTGGGCAGATATTATGTTTATGGCTATAACTTTCTTCATAAATAACCTATCATGATGAAACTTGCCACATAAACACATAATCACTATACGGATGTATTTGCCAAATTCCAAGAAATACGGAGTTACGGGAATTTTAGGAAAAACACGAATGGCGGGGGAGTGGTGGGGTGCATCAGAAAAAACATAAACTCGTCCTTTCTCGAACTTTGGAGAATCTGGATACCGAGTTTGGTTATTCTTGCTCTTGTACTTCCTGAGATCCTTGCGTTCATACAGACGGACGGACAGACGGACATGGCTATATCGACTCGCCATATCATCCTGATCAAGAATATATGTACTTTGTGGGGTCTGCCACGCCTCCTTCTGTATGTTACATACATTCGATCAAAACTAGTTTAGCCTTTTACCCTTTGGGTACTGGCTATAAAAATCAAGAAAAATGCAGTTCTAAAATCCAGATGAGGATTGTTTTCAGTAGAGGACGCTTTAAAATGACAGATAAATGACAAATAAACTGCATAGTATGTACATATATTACATATGTTTATTTTGGTATTCAATTTATTTTTCTAATACTTATTGTATATTAATTTTATTTGACAAACGGTCAGCTATTTATTTATTTAATACAAGTACTTGTATATCAATAAATAATGCTGTCAATACAGTTTACTAAGTTGAGATTACAGTTTAAACTTAAAAAAATAAGAAAGCCTCAATAATAACTGTACAGTAATGTCTATTAATGCCTCCAACAAGTTGGGGGAGTTTTATTGCTCCGATTCACAGCCATATGTTGTCAGACACATTATAGACCTACACCACTAAAAAATAGATAGTAGAGGAGAAAACTTAATTCTACTTAAGAGCTATATGGGTGAAGAAAGGCAGAAAGAGAAAAAGAAGCAGAAAAAGAAAAAGAAGCAGAAAGAGAAAAATAAGCAGAAAAAGAAAAAGAAGCAGGAGGCGCAAAATAAGTAGAAAGAGAAAAAGCAAAATCTCCAACCATGTGGGGGAAAATTTGATTGCCAGTCCGGCCAGGTATGCTATGCCCCGATTCACAGCAGAGAGTAGTCAGAGACGTTATAAGACTTAACAAGAAGAAAAAAGATAAAGACGAAGCATGATTAAATTAAAATATAAAACTAAAATGAAATTCATTAAATAATAAAAGTTCAAATATAATCAAAAACTAATGGTGGAGAATCACTTCCACCGTGGGGGAAGGTTTATTTTGTCTCGAACATTTCCACATCGATTCGTTACGTTATACTGATCGGATTATTTACTCACATCTGTCACATCTGTCCCACACATTTGGCGTTAGGACATGCTGGTGTAGCCTCCCATCCTTCGGGTAGAGGATATACAAATTGGCTATGGATGATCGGACCATTTTTGTAGCAGCGATAATCAACGCGTATTAGATACAAACTAATGAAATAATTAATTGGTGGAAGGGCTCAATTTTGTAGGTCTGTGGCCAGGTCGTGCCCGATCTCGGCCGCCCGAGGCCACTCGATTATTATTAAGTGATTTATGTTGAGCCCCTTGGACTTGGACGCTTTACGAGTACGGGTGTATGGGCTCGGATCGCGGTCGCACGCCTTGCAGTTCAATTAGTAATTTGTGCTAATGAGCGCGTTAATTTAATGCCTGATTAACGGTTTATTAGTGTAATTGTGTGCCGACCTGTGTATGAGAGAGGAAGGGCGTTGGATTATTGAAGTCAGTCGCCTTCTTTGCCGAACGGCATAAGCTAATTGGAAGTAGTGGGTGTGGGGGTCAGTGTACAAGTAGAAGGGTACTTTGTAGTTACGACTTGACCCTTGACTCGAACTGAACTTGATTTACTATTTGCCTTTGTATGAGTGTATTTTATGCCTGTCTATACGTACAATACTCGTCTGTATTCGTGTGCATCATTATAAATGATTATGTGTATTTTAAGCCTAATTTTGATTAATTGGCTTGTGGTTGCGGTTTTTCATTCGGGTCTGTGGGCAAGTTTGGGGAGGCAGTTCCCCAGCAGCTTGTAATAAATTTGTATGCCAACCAGGGGTTAGTTTATGGTAGATATAAAAAGCCCATTGAGGGCTTGATTGGGCATTGCGCTCGCTTTATGCAAAGCCAGTAAGTATAACAAGATTCCAACAACGTAATCATTATGTGTTTCTAATTAAGTGTTTACAGCTTAATAAATAGTTCGTAGATGCACTCTACACGCATCATAAAGCTGCCATAAATGCACTCTTAGTACAACAACTTTTTTGGTAATTACGGAATTACAAATTTTAATAATTATACCATATGCAGAATCATTATAATAATCAGAAGTTGATTTGAAAATTGGGATTCGTGCAACAAAATTGATTTTAGTTGATCGAGAGAGGCGCAAGCATAGCGTATTTGAGTATACTATATAGAACAAGAACAACAAGGCCCTCTCGACTATATCTATTTTCTGTCAGAGAAGTGCAATTGGTGTCAAGCTCATTTGCATCGATGGCGGCCACCGGTGGCCAAATAAAATGAAAGGCAAAAACACAGCGACGTCATATTATTCCTTTGCTGCGTTTTTATCAAAACTACACATGTTTGTGCTCGTTCGGCGCAAAGCCAATTCTCAAACCAACAACAACAACAACAACTACATACAGCATAGACAACACAACAACAACAAGCAGCCAAACTTTGTTCAATCAGCCAGAAAACCGTTTTGCATTTTGGCAGCCTGTGTCCCTCTTCCCCGACTAGCCACAATATTGTTTAGATATGATATTTGAGCTAAAGGTAGGAGTACAGCTTTGCCTTCCACTTCGACTTCAAGACAAACTTAAATTCTTTCGCTTTCTCTTGTTCGTATTTTTTGTTCTTCGACTAAAAAATACTTAACTCTGCACGCCATTTTCTGGACACGCGGTGGCTCGGCATTTTCTGGCATTGTTCGCCCCGTTCTTGGTTTAGAAATTTTGTTTTTGTTCGCCGGTGCATTAGGCGGGCCTCTCTAAATTCTATCAAAGCTGTCCTTTATACTTATCCTCGGGGCATAGCTTGCTGGCCTGGCATTCAAATTTTCCCCCGCCGCATTGGAGATTTCCTATTTTCTCTTTATGCTTAATTAGCTTTTAAGAAGAATTAATTTTCCTCTTTTTAGCTTCTTGGGCCTACATATGGCTGTGAATCGGGGCATAGTTCGCCAAATGGCACATAAAATTCTCCCAACGTACCGGAAGCATTAATACAAGTAGATGTCAGTTTTTCTTCAGCTTTCTTACCTTTTGAGTTGAAATTATAACGTAATTTTTATAACATGTCTTTATTTTATATAACACAATTTATTGATTTATTAAATATGTAAATAAATAAATTATTGCGCAGTGCAATAAATAGATTATTGTGGAAATGTTTATCCCACATATGACCACAATACTTCCATATATATCTAACGAATGTTAATTACACCTAATTGCATTGATTGTGCATGCTATTGTTTACGTTTGTTTCTCACATTGTTCCGCGGTTCGCTTTACCGTTTATTCAATATGAGTGAATTTCTCGAGAAACTTCTCAGTTTTGCCAAAATAAGCTGCAGAAGTATGAAGACACTCAAATTAAAAATTAAAATTACAGCGAATAAATAGCAAAAATACCGCATTTTAAAAGTTTAAAAAATTAATTTTAGTGTTTAAAATGAGTTTCAGTCATATGTGGCAAACAAAAAAATTCTTTTCACCTAAAATTTGTAACGTATGTCCTGCAAATCCATGAAGGATATTAAAATTGCAAAACCTAGACATTGAGAATATTTTCATAAAATATAAAGACCATATACATATTTCAAAGATCATAAAAAAATATTCTGCATTTTGGCGTGGGGTCTGAAAGGGTTATCTGTGTAACCTTCAGTTTTATTATTCCACAATGATGGATTTTTTTGGAGGCCTTCAAAGCACTTTTAAAACGTGTTTAGTCCACAAATATTCTTCACAAATGGTGTTCGTGCAAACAATGCCATCCATTGACGAAGATGTTTGCACAAACACCCGCAAGATAGAAATATTTATATTCTTCGCGAGCAGAATTTTCTTAAATTTATGGCAAACAACTCCACTAACGACGAACACATTAGCGTGTGGATGGCATGTTTCAGAATCTAAAGTTTAGATCAGTGATGGTTGAAAAACAACAAAAAATATCGCACATTAATGAAATCATTTGGCATTGAGAGAAGATAGAAGAGTTTAGAATCAATAAAGACCAGAGCCACTAGTTTTACTTAAAAATATTAACATACATTTAAGCTTTCTATATTGTACAAGTACGGCTATTTACACCTAATTCTGTTTTTACACGGTAGATTGGCTCCAGCAAAAGTCGTGTAAAAAAACCGTGTGTGACATAACATTTTTATTTTTCAAACCGTGTAAAAGCAGAACTAGGTTATGTACGCTGCTTTCCACCAGATTACCTTCCTTTTAACTCCATGAACTCGAATCCATAAAAAAATGAAGATTTTCCAACGCCAAAATTATATAAATTCCTCATCAGCATGACGAGTGCAACGGACTTGTTAGAAACTTATCCTTTAAACTTTTTATGGAATGTCTGCTGTGCGCAGCAAGCGTTGAATTTTACATTTCACGCATGGAGTTATGTCTGTCAATTTAATTGTAGAACACATTCAGTCGTAAACAGTTCAAAATTCAGAAAAAAGTACACTTTGGAAAACTTTTATCACTAACTAATGAATACAAGTATTTCACACATTGGGTGAGTATTGCGAATGGGATTAAGATCTGTTCCTTTTAATACACAAATGTTTTCCACAGTCTGCTCTCAGCTCTGAGTAAGGCACTATTTTTGTAGAAAATATGAATGATTGAAAAGAACGCAGCATTGGTTCCATTCAAAATTCAAAAGATTTAGCGACATGCTAATGGGAATGTTATATTGAAGTCAATGCAACACAATTTTTCAGTAGGATATGGACGGGGCACATACACACACACACACAGAACACCGACTAGTAAGTAAGACTTGCCTATAATATATAGACGATGAGTATTAATTTTGTTTGTTTTTTAAAGAATGTCAACATTAATACTAAGAGCTGGTTTATTTGTGTTGATCAACGGTACCTGATCCTTAACGCTAGAGGCTTCGCGGCTAAGGATTTGAGGATAGCGATTTGTTAAAAATGTATGAACTAATATAATAACTAATAACTAATATAAATATTGTCGCTATTATAAGGCACATAATTGTACTAATACTCAATAAAATCAAGTTGCTGGCTTAACAAATTCATACGATTTTCATATCATTTACTCAAAATGTTTTTTTATTTTGTATTTTTATTTATTTGTTATTATTATTTCCAAGTGCGGAATTAATGCACTAGTCACAAGCGACATACAATTTTCATTGGACAAATTTAACAACTTTTAACCTACTTAGCCTATTTTATAAAATTTAGAGTTTAAATTAATAGTAATTTTATATTTCAAACATTTTAAGTTGTTAGTTACTTATTTTTTAAGAACAAATTTAATTTTTCCCTAAATTGCGATGCACTAATTATTATCTTTAAATGTTGAGGTAATTGTTAAAGGTTAAATGTATCTTAAAGATTGCAGATTAAAGCTATACTTTTGGGAAGTTCTTCTGCTTATGAGCCGAACTGGGAACACATCTGAAGAAAGCCGACTAAAACGACAATCAAAAGAGCTACAATAATCAAGAAACTAATGAATACATTCTCCATTTTAATTCTATGGAGTGTAGGCGAGTATTTTGAATGATGTTTTCATTTTGTAATCGCAGGACAGATGAGGGTTAAAGCTAATTTAAGATATGAGGTAAAACCTCGGACAAATTTTTCTCATTGATTTAAAATTATGTGTTGGGGGAGAAAGGAATTAGAATTCTGTTTCTAATGAAGACTTGGCGCCAAAAATGCATTTATTATACTAACTAACATACCAATAGAGCCGTTGATCCATGGCACTATGGTTTCAAATGCTCGTTTTTTTTGACATAAATTCGAAATATTAAGATATTTATCCCAAATTTAGTTTGTACTAAATACCAAGTTTGGTTCAGTTTGGGCCAAAAATTCATATAGCTGCCATATAACCGACTTTCATTAACTTTGGTATGTTTTGCTGTATCAAGAGCTGATATTTTGGCATAAGTTCAAAACTAATGCCAGACACTTGAAGTTTGGCAAATTTAAGAACGATCTGACCACGCCCACTCTTATCGCCCCTAGAAAGTTCGGTAGGTACCTAGTGATAAGCATTGAATGTATAATTTTATAAAAGTATAATTATATATTAACAGTTTAATAATATAATAATAATTAATATTATTATTGTTATTATTATTAATAGCATTATTATGAAATAACATTATTATATTATAACATTATTGTATCATTATTTAACGAAATTTTACTTATATTCCAAAAATATGTTCATATATTTTTCGATTTTATGCCGCTGTATATAAAAATTTTAATTAAAAAAAGTTTATTAATTATAAGTATTTCTTTATATTATTAAATAAAAAAATTGAGTATTTTTTATAATTTTAGTGCATTGGAGTGAAAACTTATTTGCCAGTTTGCCAGCCCGAAATTTGTAGATTTTCTCGCATTTCACCAGAGGCAGCGTGCAAAACATGGCACACGCTCTGGGAACAGAGAAGGCATTAAGTAGCTGTAAGAGTATGCCGCAATGAGCCCACAAAACAAAAAAAAAAAAACCAAAAAAAAAATAGGGAGCCATAGCACCAGAGAGTCATCAGAGTGCAGCACTCAAATGGATACATCAGTCGCCACTTCATAATCACATTGATAGCCGTTAACAAACTTTTTGCGAGTTTTTGCGCAGGCGGCAGGCACACACACACACAGAGAGAGAGAAAAAACTTTTGCTAGTTACTTTTACAGTTATTATTGAAAGCTGCAAAAACTTTGGCTTATTTCATTACGCAAAACTTTTCATTACGAGTACGCAGCACAGGCTGGCAAGCTGCAAGCTCCACACATTACTCATACGCAGCGTGCGTATGGTGGGTAGGGGGGGGGGGGAGTCTCTCTTATCAATGCGAAAGTTTGTTGGTAACAAAGCAAGCAAAACCAGGCAGAAAGTTCCATAGTTCCATCCCCCCATAAATACAGCAAGTAGGTAAGATGAAATAAAATAAGAAGTATCATGTGGCTTGGTCGTCCGCAATGGGGGAAAAAAAAGGTACGAGTATAGGACAAGAAAGCCATTTGAAACGTCAAACAAATTGAATTTGAGTTGCGTGTGAAGTGTGTGGCACTAATAGCGCTTATAATTGGCATAAACAACAACACTCAGCCAGCTCTTAGAAAATATTCGTATAACATACAAGTACTTATTCTTATAGTATCAGTTTTACGAAATTTCCGACAAATATAAAATGTCACCAAATTGAATTTGTTTTGCGAGTAAGCGGCCTTTTAAGGTTTTTTATTACATTTGCCAGTGTGAACGACACTAAGTGGTTTCTACGCACACAATCATATCTAATATATACATATATATATATGTATATACACATGTATATCTGTAATAGAATGGATATATCAGATAACCCTCGTATTGTGCCCAAATGTGTCCAAACATGCAAAACAAATGAAAGACATGAAATTGATATGAAAATTGATTTGGTTATTAATACGCACAAGCTGTGGACCCCCTGTCCCTCCCCCTTCTCCCCCTCCCCGGCCCCTCTTGCCCAGCAGTCGCACAAGTCGCGCGTGTCCAGCATAATTGTTTGTCTTATCAGCGCATGGCACAACAGGGCGTATTATTAATTGCCGCCTAATTGCCACTCGACATGCAAACCAAAATTATTTTTGCTCTTATTGCTCCTCTTGTTGTTGTCGGTAGGATCGTTGTATTCTATTAGAGAAATGGAATCGAAAAAGTCGCCACCGAGCAACCAAAAAAGCCAATTTATTTCCACAACCAACAAAATACTATATAGCACAATAAACAAATTAAAAACTTCCAAGCAAAAGTTTCTTCGGCAAGTGCAGCTAACATTTCTGCTTCTAACCCACACAGCATTCTATCCGATCTAATCAGCAAGTTTATTAAAAAATTCCAATTTTGTATTTGCAGTTTTAGCAAAAAGATCAACAACAATAAAAGAATAAATAGTGCACAATAGTAAAAACAATCAGCAATGAAACGCAGAAATAGAAATAGAATTCAAGCGCACTTTGAAGAAAATACCTAAGGAAAATAAAGTATAGAGCACAATACTAACACTAATACATTTACTGATTATAACTATAATAATAATAAAATAAAACCAAAACACTTTAAATTTATGTTTAACTAAAATGTATCTAATAAAAATAGCTTAAGTAGGCTAATCAAATCACTCGAATTTTAATATCTAAGGAAATTTAATGTTTGGGACTAGTGCATTAATTTATAAGAATCTTTCTTGTCGCACTAGGAATTAATACTAAATAAATAAAATAAATAAATAAAACAATGTCTCTCGCAACATAATTGATGCGTAGCAATAAATGGTAAGAAAGCAATTATACAAGTAGAAGGCTAAGAGTAGTCACCAATGAACTAAGACTGCAACTATTTTATAAATGCTTTCATTTAAAATGTACTCTTCTTTAATGTTCCGAAAATGTATTTAGAATCTTATACTTGTATTCCTTTTAATTTCTGAGTCTACTGCATCGATACAAAGAAACAACATCTTTCTTACAATTGAACATTTATATTTGGAGTTCCATTTACCATAAACTGACCTTTAAAATATAGTTATAAGTATTTAAAAAAATTAACAATTTATCGGTTATACATATATTTAAGCTCTTTGTCATACAAATAAAAACCAAAATAATAATATTCTGATTAAATAATGCACCATGCGTTTAAAAAAAATTTATGCATTTGATCAATACAAAAAGTTCCACAAATCGAACTCAATTCCAATTTAAGTCGAAATAGTGCGCTATAATAATGAATGTGTGGTCGACTTTATATTGCAATATCTCTAGGGTGATCTAATGTGATCAACCTAGGTCCTGAGCTTCTACACAAGCGTAATTAAATAGATAGTTCAGATTCGAATACGTTCTATAATCTATAATTCGCAACGCCAGTTAGTCTAATCTTCTTTGTGTGAACCGCAACCAGAACTTATTTTGGACCCATTTTCTGGGTTTTTATCAAGTAATTTGCTCAATAGTAGTATTTATATCGAAACAGACAACAAGGTGTTCAACAAAATTGGTTTTTTCTAAACCCCAGAAGCTGTTATTCAACCTTAACAACAAAGTAGTTTTTTCTACCTCATGGAAAGAAGAAGTTTATGTGCATAGATGTTTTTTTAAATAAAAGTATTATAAGTAAACGATAAAATTAAACTATATTTTTAATTTGTAGTTCGTAATGATTAGATTTCAAAAACATAACACTAAATTTTCAAATGGATTCAACATTAAATTTTGTAAATTAAATAACAAATACATAGTTCTTAGGAAATAGGTATAATAAATAAGTTTAATTCTTGTGTTTATTTTTGACGTTAAGGTTATCTTACATTTCCCGTTATAACTTTCATTAGTCGGTTAGGCATTGTGTTGGCCAATTCTCTTGGAGTTGATGGAGTGATTTGTTCATCTTTAATCTGTTTTACTGTGTCAAACTGCCGACCATTCCTATGAACTTTGGTTAACAGGATTCCCCAGAGGTCTTCAGTTAGGCTTGAGTCCGGGCTTAGTGCTGGCCACTCTAGAAGAGGTATATTGAAATGCCATAGTAATGCCTTGTTGTCTTGTTGAAAATCCAATTATCTTCGTAAAGGTCTCCCGCAAATTCAATAAGTTCGCTTTCCAACAGCTGCATATATATGCCCGATTTGGTTTTAGTTGGAATAAAACCAATCCAGGACTTTCCAGCATATCCAAATGCAGCCCAAATCATCAATGATATGCCACTGTAGTTGTTGGAAATCGAATTCTTAAAGTCTCTACTCATTCAGGGCCAAACCAAACTCATTCAGTTATATCAGTGCATATCTTTCCTAAGCGCCTTCAAGTCCGCAATACATACTTCTTGAAGCCACAATGCTCGTATGTTTGTGTTTGTGTGTATTATTACATATTCCTAAATATACAAATCCATAAAACCCTAATAATTGTTTTTGGCATTATGTTTACGTTTATTGTTGTTTGTTGTTGTGGCTGCTGTTTGCCTTACTAATTGTTTAATGATAAGAAAGACAACCGCATGTC